TATAACTTAATATGATGGCAAGTTTTCCCTTTGTACATGACAAATTACAGAAGTACAAATGATCATGGTGCTCTCAGCAATTTAGTAACAGGCTTTTTGCTTTTGTAATGAAGATAGACAACAGAGCATCAGATAGGAAGGAAATAAGATAAGGATCTCCCAGAAACTGCAGCATTGTGTGAAATTAGGATGGTCTTGTGAAGTTCATATGAGGACAAAAGTTTTTTAAGGTCCCAATTCTAGGAGTCAAGGAAAAGATTTTTAATTTTCATTCATTAACAGATAAATTTCTAGCACTCACAGCTTCCAAAACAAGCTATGAAGTCCCACATATTCATTAACTGGACTTCATGATAGCTGTGCTGTATATTGGCTAGCAGAGCCCAGCCTAACTCATGGCTTCTGAATATTGCAGTATCAAATAGGAGACATTCAGAAATGGGACTAAAAGAGGGAATGGTGAAGGGTCAGGGTAGTCTTTCCTCAGTACTAAGCTCAGGATGCAGAATCACCTCAGTACCAGCTGAAACATCAACTCATCAAAAAGAGTTTTCTTTGCAAGATGTAGGCTTCTTCATTTTCTCCAGTTCTTTAAATTGCCTTTGTGCTTTTAGATCAGGTGTGCTGTAAAAATCCTTTCCTCTGTGGGTGTAGTAGAAAGCTGGATACAAGCTAAACCTATTATTTAAATTCCTGAAAAATTTCCCAGTATATTTGAAAGGCATTTTTGGGGTCCTGAACACAGGGACCTAGTGCTGCAAGCAAGGCTTGTGCCCTGAGCCCCATGCAGGAGTGCTGAAATGCACAGTGACCAAGCACATGTGTCCTGGGGAGATGGGCAGTGCTGAGCACTGCTCTGGCTGGGGTTTGCAGCCTGCCTGTGCCTGAGCTGAAGGAGGGAAGACAGGTGATCTATGATGTGCTTAAGCAGTGGCCTCAGCCTCAGAAAATCAGGGGTTTATTTCTGCTGAATCTTAGAAAATTGTGTACAATGACTTGGTTTTCCTTCTATTAAAAAAAAAAGAAAAAAAGAAAAAAAAAGAAGAATGAAACCAAGGAATGTTTTTTGGGCAGTAAGTCCCTGAGGGTCTGAGCAACTTTCACACTACAACCCAGCCCTGGGCAGCTGAGTGAAGGCAACTGCTCTTTTACAAAAGGGCTGTGTTCTGCATAATCTCACAGGACTTTAACCACATCTGGTATTTCTAGATGCTGCTGAAATATAGGAAAATTTCAGCACAGCACTTCCATCAGCAGTGACTGAGTGACAGAAATCGTGGCTGAGATCCTGCATTCAAGCTGTGCAACATGCAGCTGTCTGGATAAGCAGGAGAGTTTACTATAACCTACACTAAGTGCAGTCCTCATCTTTCCATCTCCATGGCAAATGTTTTGTCTATAAAATGTAAGCAAGGGTAAGAATCCTAAGCATTTTGGTCCTCTTTTGGCAGAACTAACCATTAATTTACAGCAGTGCTGTTATAAAGTCATCTTTCTTGTCCAGGAGAAAGTATTGAAAGTTTGAAGACAGAAATTGAAAACATGCCTTACCTAAGTCCATACATAACAGAAACCCAGAGCTTCGCCTCCAACAGGTACAGCCAAAACAGAAAGCACCACTTCCAACTTTCTGTTCATAAAGATGATGATATTCATAATAATAATAATAAGGAAGTTACTGCTGAGGAAGCTGAGGACACCCTAGAGCTTATATTTGAAATTTTCATTGCTGATGGACAGGGTGATGGTGGTAAGCCCAGCAATACCTGCTTCAAGAACTTTGCTGCTTGCTAGTTATATTGCTACTCTATCACATCCTGATATCACAGCTGAAATGCTGTTTTCAGTTTAGACCCCCCAAAAGTCTACCTTCTATCCTGCAGGATTTTGTGATTTATCTCTTCTCTGTTTCCTTGCTCTTCACTGTGCAGTTATATCCTTCGTTTGCCTTGCTCTTCATTGCTGTAAGTTATTTTTTATTTCTGGTTTTTATTATGGTTGGCACTGAGAGTTCACATTATGTTGTTGCCCTTGAAACTATAACAATAACCCTTTCAATTAGAAGATTTTGGGAATCTTTCCTTTGTGGTCATATAGTAATCAAACAGGGCTGTATCTTTAAATGTTGTAGGATGTATGGACTGTGCATTTTCTGTCCTATGCTTTTAAAAAGAAAACATAACTATAATTGGAGACACGCTTTGGAAAAATGTCTGTGATGAAAATTTGCAATGCTTTGCCTTGTTCTAGGCTAGCACAGGACCTCTGGCATAGCTCAGCATGGAACAGAAGTGCAGCAAACAAGCTGTTCCCAGCTCACCTGCCAGCCAACAAACCTTCCTGGTTTAGCTGAAAATCGTTTGCATGGCTTTGAGATTCTTCGCTGTGAGGGTGTGAGGCTCTGGCACAGGCTGGTCAGAAAAGCTGTGGATGCCCCTTCCCTGGAATTGTTCAAGGTCAGGCTGGATGGGGCTCTGAGCAATCTGGTTTAGTGGGAGGTCCATGGCAGGAGGTTGGAATGAGATGATCCTTAGGGTCCCTTTCAACACCAGCCATTCCATGAGTCTCTACTTTGTGCATGGTGAGGGAAGATCTGCTTGTATATCCTTAGAAATCAAGGTTGTGAAGGCACATGCTTTAAAAACTGCAATGCCCCTGTTTGCAGCAGGAGGAGAGGATATGGATTTAATTATATTTATGAGAGTTTAATTCTTAAAAACTAGACAAATGGGTAGGGATTTAGCAAAGTGGCAGGATTTGGTTGGCTCAAACCACATCGGCACTGTTGAAATGCCTATATGTGGGGAACAGTAGCAATATGAACATGGGGTGTCTCTGCTCATTTTTTGGGAGTGACAACAGTGAGATGTGGAGGGGAGTGATTGCAGACTCAAGTCTGTGTATGTCAGTGCTTTGTCTGCTCCATGTTCTTCTGTCAGACAAGTATTGTCCTTTATGTCAATCTCTGATGTGGTGATTATTAGACCACAGGTTATGGTGTCGATGTGCATCTTGGGGTGTGTATATTAATGTCAGCATGGAATCCAGAAGCTGATGAAATAGAAAGGATGCACATTGGAACAACACCTTTTCCAGCCCCAGGAGAGGCCTGACTACTTTCATAAATCCTTCGTTGTAGCACACAAGCTTCTTGGCTGGTACTGAGCTGTGCTTTGGAGCATATGCATGAACGTACACACAAATATAGAAAACATTTCTTTTGGCTATTTCCCATGTGGCTTAATTTTTCACAGCTCTGTAAAATTTCATGTGCAAATTCTGTTTTTACAACTTTTATTTTATCTCAAAAGTAGAGTTTTGAATAATTGTTAAGAAAATTTTATCCCAGTCACTTTTAAGACAAAATCTTTGGTTGATAAAGATAGCACAGGGAGCTGTTATATATCTTGGTTTTGAAAGCAAGAGGACTGCTGCCTCCCCTTTTTTTGTTTTTCTTTCCTCTGGTTTCCTCTTCCTATCTCTGAAGTGTTTATTCTCATGCAGAAATTATAGTAGGTGTTAAAAACCCTGTGAGTCTATTGCAGCTCTGAGTTAGCTCCTAATCCCAGTCCTGTTTTCCTCTTCTCTCGTCTCACATATCCCTGTGCAGTTTGTATTCCATTTATTAATTCCAATCTGATTGACTGTGGGCATCTTTTGAACTACATAATTGCCAAAATGCCAGTAAATGTAACTTAGTATTATGTCTGTGCCCCAGCCACTACCTCAGATGTTATAGACATCTAGATTTACTCTTCTTTGTCTGAACTTTTTTTTACCCCTATTGCAGTTCATCCGTGTTGGTCTCGTTTCTCTGAAGCTCAGACTCAGCAGGCTGAGATAGTGGCTTAATCCATAGGAAAAAGAGTGACAGATATAAACACAAAAAATAATTAACTTATTGTTTGCTGTTTCCAAATGTAATACCACACTTCAAACAAGACATTGCTATTTCATAGATCAGAAAGATTGAGTGCAGATTTATCTGTGGCAGGCCTTTGTATGAGCCAAGCTCTGAGCATGGACAAGAAAAAGTCCTTGCTGTGAGTGTTGTACAAAGTAAAGACAGACAAGTAGAGAGATATAGAACAGGAAAACAAAGATAGAAATAGGCAAATTTTATGTGTGTTAATATAATGAGCATGGTAACATTTTGCATTTTGCAAAGGATTTGAAATAGGGATGGAATGAGAACCTGCCCAGTGCATTCAGCTGAGTCCCATCTGTGGCCATAGTTCTGGTTCTGTGGCTGTAGGATGTGATTTCAGGCACAGAAGTGATGGAAAAAACTGATAAATGAGTAGACAGGTGGGTCTTGAAGAGAGAGGTGAATGAAATCCTCTGTGGAAAATACATTTGTGTGGTAGAGATGAGATTCATGAGGCCGGGGGTGCTGTCTCGTCAGTGTCCCTCATAGATGCAGTAATGCTTCTCTTTCTGTAATGCTTTTCCTTCTCTGGTTTTTTTAACACATCCTTTCTCTTCGTACAAACTCCTTTTCCAACATACCTTCATTTTTCAGGGTAATGTTTCTACAAAACAATTATTTTATTGTAAAATAAATGAAGGAAATCAGGAAGAATTAAGAAGGAATATGTTTACTACTTCAGTGTACAACACTCCGAAATGCAAATTGCCATTTTATATAAAAGCAGAGGAGGAAAATGGTGTGAAGGAGCCACTGTAGGAATAGAGATTTTTCCAACACTGGTTCACTGGGATTTTTGAAATTCCAAAGCCAAATTAAAATATTTTGAAGATTGAACTACCATCTTTTGTATAGATACGTATGAAGGTATTTTCTCAATGTGACACAAATACCAAAATATGTGGCTGTTATTCTAGTAGAGTGTATTTTCCTATGATATCCCTTTTGCAGGCTTCAACAGAAATTTTAGAATTCAACAGAGACAGGGTTTTTTTTTCCTCAAATTGATATTAGATTTTTCTGATTTCTATTGACTATAATTAAGTAATGAAAAATGCAGGGGAGTGTCATGCCTGGTTTATTTTAAAATTCCCTTTTTCTTTCTCCTTTTTTGTTTCCCCTATCTAACTGCTTATATGACCCTTTGTAATTTCATTATCACAGTGGTTCAAAGACAATGGCAAAAGATGACAAAGAGCAAAAGGAATGTTCAAAATCCAAGTCCATAAATAGGTTTTCTTGAGAACATCACAAAGGCTCTATTGTGCTACACATAGCAGAGACAGAAAGGATACGTGCCCACTCTTTACCAGAATATGCTGCAGACTTTTCTGCAGGTCACTTGCTGGTGCAATAAAAACCCTGAAAATATCCATGGGTACCAAAACCTCACTTGTAAGATGCTACCACATTTTTTTTTCCACTCATAATTCAAATAGTTGCCCTAGGTTTGCGTATTGGTGTGGTCAGACAGCACTGTCTGTGTCCTGCAAAGTGCTTGTGGCCTGAGAGGAAGTGCTCCTGCTGTGCTTGCTGTGGGCTGTGACAATCACCTTGGAAGCTGTGCTTGAACTGCGTGGTGGATTTTCAAGGTCAATAAAAATATTGGGTTGTAGGATGGGGAGTGGGAAACCGACTTCATTTTTGCTTGTGGCTTCATCTCGGTTCAAAACCCTCCTGATGCATTATCTGTGTGAGTTTTTGGGTAAAAATATATTAATGCTCTCTTATTCAGTGCTGTTCTATTACCTATTCATCAAAAATATTGCTTTTGTGCATTTTTCATTATAAGATTCAACATTACCAATGTTAATAAAGAGAGAACTCCTTTTCTTTTCTTAGAAATAGAATATGTAAAGACATTGCCTCTTTGATGTTTCTAAGCCAATACAATATGTATTTGAATGAGGATAAAAGTCATTCTTTTAACAGAAGATCATCCAAGTCATTTCTGATGAAACTCAAGAGAAGCTTTTTTTTTAAAGAGATGCTTAGAAATTAAGATTAAAAAGGGGGGAACACCGCTTTAGAAGTAACAGCTAGTGGAAATAAGTCACATATTTGATAGTATTTCATGTAGGCCCATGGTGACATCAGCCTCTTTTATTGCGATGAACTGTTCAGCTGCAGATGCCTTTCCTTCAAAGGGATGGGACCTTGCTGTCACAGGCAGGTATTTCATGTGATGCTGTCCTGAACTGTGAACAGCAGACACGATTTTGGGTGTCTCTCCCAGAATTTCCTGTGCTGCTCAGCACTCCCACGTCACTGGCTACTTCTCTCATGTGGGAATTTTTACTGTGAATTTTCCACTGAGAATTAGACCGTACATGACTTGCTGCTCAAGAGCTGCTATAAATTTGGAGCTAATAAATTTTATGAGGCCTGTGAAGCCTTGGGACTAGGAAGCTTCTTGAATGCTGTCCCAGCTCACTACTGTCTGGCCAACCCTTCCCCTGTGTGCAGGCACAGGACAGCGTCGTATCTCCATTTATGAGTTATCAGCTTCTGTGCTGGCTGCAGAGTCGTGCACTGAGGGAGTGTAAGGGGTTTAGACACTTCCTTAATTTACTGTCTCTGAAAATCTGTCTGGATTTTGATCATTTGGCCAAAATATAAGAATGTACCACAGAATAATTAGCAGGAAAGTTTTCTTAGAGCACAATAGACGTATTGAACAGGAGAGGCAGCTGAGGCAGAATTATGGTTGTTGCACCAGTATTTGTTCCTGTAAATGGAAAACTTCCCATGGATAAGGGCAGTGTCCTGACTCATTCCCTTGCTCTGCACTGTTTGAGTAGCTGGATTTCTGCTGTGCAGAACAGGTTTCCTAGGAGCACTGCAACACTATCTGGGTTTGACTTTTAGATGGATTTATTTTGGGCTGCAGCAGGAGAGTTTGAGCTTCTACTGACTGTCAGGGTGCCTGGGGAGACAGCTCTGGGGGTTTCAACACAGTGAAAGTGATTTTGCAGGGCTGATGCCTTGGTTTGTTACTGTTGGGTTTATTTTTTTTTTACGTTTAAAGTGAACTTATGAAAATGGATGTATTGTTGTCAGGAGAATAAAGGATTCTTTTCTCTCAGTACAGAGACGTTTTTTGAGGTGAACTTGACATCAGTGGCCAGACATAATATCCCCAGCTCACAGCAAGTTGAATGTGTTTTCTTGGCTCACAAACCTGTGCTGTGTTGCCTGAGCAGACTGAAGCAGCCTCCTGGAAGACACGTGGACTTTACAGCTTACCGAGTGGCACACAGACTTCTTCTCGGTGGATTATTTTCAAAGTCTGACCTTTAATAAACTGGAAGCCACTTTAAGAAGGTTCTATGTCCACAGAATTCTTACTACCTGTAAAGTGCTATGGCCACTCTGTACCAATGGCTGAGACAGATGCTCTTGGGCTCATCAGGTCTGTTTGCAGAAGGTGTTTCTAGGTGTAGCTGAAGGGGTAGGTTTAAAACTGAATCAAAACATCCAGTACCCAATTTGCTCTGAGGTTTGTTTGTTTTTTTTGTGATCTGCTGGTATTGCTGAAATAAAAACAAAACAAAACAAATCTTAAAATGTATTTCAGAGGTGCAGAGAAACAAAGACCCAGACCAGACGCCTGCTGTGGGGGGCAGGTGATACATGGGCATAGTGGGGAAATGTTACTCTCCTGTTACCTCCTGCACACACATGCCAGTAGAGAGGCTGGCAAAGCAGCACAGTAACTGAATGATGCTGCTGCAGTTTCTAAGCCTTTTAGACTGACTGGGCAATATAAGATATTGTGCCTCTTTTAAGTACTTAATGGCCCTACTATCATGATAAAAAACAAAACCATGTCATTCTCTATAGATAAAAAACCATGACTATTGGGTTCAAAACTCTGTAGAAGAAAGATGGGAAAGAGATTTGTTTCACTTTTAAAACAACCCTTTGAATTTAGACAATGCCAGACATGTAGTCACCATTTTGAGAGGTTGAGATGCAAAACTTGATTGTTCTGAATATTTATTAGAAAATGTATTGCTACAGCTCTGATGAGAAACAGCCTACTATTCTGCATCTTGCATAAATCAAACATGCCTGCCATTTGCTAAATTATTACATTATAAACCATGTTGTAATTACAAAACTTTAGTTGTTCCATTTATAATCTCCATGGTTTATTGTATTATTGGTTGGACTTGAAAGCTGAAGCTTAGAATTTATGAAGTCCACTAAAATATTATATTCCCCTTCCTTTTCTCCTGATGATCAAATGACTAAATCAATTGCTGGGGCAATGCCAATGGTATTAGGATCAATAAGATTGTGAAATTTATTGTACGTTTTTGTTGCTGTATAAAATTAGATTGCAGAGTTTATGAATGTTTATTCTTCTGAGCCCTAGATTTCTGGTTTGTCTGAAACATACATTATGGTAGTTTGGTCTTTGCTTGTTACATAAACATTTCACTTGCAATACTTTAAATGTATCCTCTTAAAAAAAATTAATGTTTGCATTTTTAGTAAGTTTCATCCAATTTAATTTTCATAGATATTTTGTGTTTTCAGGCCATGAATTGACTCCACAGACTGCTTATTTAGTTTTCTTGCTGAATTTGGAAATTTCCATTTCAAGCTAATGGAACTTTTCTTGATAATTTTTCTTGACTTGTGCACAGTCTTTTGTATCAGAGAATCTCCTGCCCTTCTCAGGTTGGCTGCAGATGATTTAGACAATGTGTATTGAGACTTAATTTCACAATTTTTTCAGCGAGTTCTCTTGAGCTTTGAGAAAGAGGTATTTAAATTTCATCCTTAACTTTCCACAAAGAGACTAAAATCCCATTTGTCTTTGGGAGAGCTGGTGGCTGTTGGTGTGAGGTTTTCAGCTTGCCTGTGCTGAGCTCTGGCAAGTAAAAATTTACCAGTTTTCATCAAGAGAATGGGTTTTAACTTCTTACTGAGCTCTAGAAAGGATGTGCCAGTGGCCATGGCATGTGCTGTGTGTAGACACTTGTGGTTTCTCTGGAGATTTCCTAGGTGCTCTTAGGCAAACATCCCTGCTGCCAACATCACAATAGAAGTAATGTTTCTTCTCTGTTAAAACTGAGCTAATATTCCTTACAAATGTGTTTCAGGACTTCTTAAGAACTGCAAGTTGCTCTAATACTTCAATAATTTAGAGCAGTTAAGCTTTGTAGAGTCTTGTCTATTTCATTTTTTTGTTTTAAAAACTTTGTCCTTTTATGTTGTTAACCTGAAGCGTGTCTGTTTTCATTTTGGTTAAAATGTAATTAAGTCATCGAGGAGGGGTAGCTATATTAAAAATTTTTGCTTTTTTGTGAAAATCTTTCCATGAAGCTCTAAAATTCTTACTCTACAGTAACTTTTGTTGGCTGCTTGGAGTGTCTTTGCAGTTAACATGCTCAGTTATCATTATGTAAATATAAGTTCGATGGAGAAAAATATGCTACTGCTACTTGCTGTGACAGTAACATAAAGGGACAACATTGAGATTATTTTTTTCTGCTTGGTCTTTCTTGAATGCGATATCTTTAGTTTTAAAATGGCATTGAAAACTCTGTCTGAAATATTTATCAAGCACAGATATTGCATAAGGGAAGAACTAAAAAAGGGAGTTCCTGGTAGTCAGTTCCTAAAGAAGAGGTTTTAATTCTCCATTTATCTTTCAAAAATTAAGCTTTTCAGAAGTTATATCTATTAAATCCAAACAGAGCTTCACATTGCTGAAATCTTACTTTTAAAAATCTTTATTTGAATGTATTAGCTTTGCCATTTTTATGAAGGCAGCAAGCTATCCAGTAACAGGTAAGAACATGAGTGACAAGGGCATTTGTCTGGAATGGAACCCAAATGACAGCTTTTTACATCCCAGAAGAGCCCTTAGTTACTTGGAAATAGGTTATTATGAAATATTCCTGTGTTACTTTTTTCTTTTTTACCTAAACCTCCCCAGACAAACTCAAAAAGAAGAAAGAATAGACATTGAAGCATCTCTGTATTTCAGACTGAAAACACACTATTCACTTTTATTCCTTGCCAAGTTAGAAAAATGCTTTTGGTTATTTTTGTGAATTTATTTGTATCTAGGTAACTTAAAAAAAAAGAAATACTGGCATCATTCAGGTGCCTAAATCCTGTTTTCAAAGTATTGTCTTTCAGGACTCCTGGTAGAACTGGGACTACACAAAATATTGAAATGTTGTGGTAAAAGGTAAGCCAGTACTGGAAGCCAGCTTGCACACTGGTGTCTGCTCCATGTCTTCTGGGAGCTAATTCATGGTGCATCTTGGATGTTATTTAGGTCAGATTTCTCCTAAAAATGTGTTATTCTGTATGTTAGTTCAAATTCCTGCAGTCTGGGCACCTTGGGGCTTGCAGGTCAAATTGTTGTATTTATTGAGTACAACTCCATCTTGGAAGTCAATCAATGGTGTCTTCTCAGTGGATATTGATTGGGGAGGTGGACCATGAAAACCTGTCATATCCTGAAGCAGAGACCTGAGCTAATTGGAGTGTAGTCGTGTCATTCCTTTATCCATGGTTACAGGATGCTGGACTGTATGGCACAAACATCATTGCAACAGAAAACCAATGTATTACATGATAAAGATTAGTTTATTGATGGAGCTCAGGCTTGTGCAGAGCTGTGGGGATAGCTCTTCCATGGCGTACCAGTAACTATTCTACAATGTAATAATTTAAAACCATTAGCAGCATGTTGTTGTCGTCTTTCATTTTAATTGTCTTATGTCTTCTACTGTATTCTTTTTAGCACTGGTACATATGCCAGACTTTAAAGAGTCTATTGTGGAATGTTTGTCACAAACAACCAGGACTAAAAGGCTTGAGGGCATGAAATAAACATACATTTGCATTAAAAAATAATTGCTCAAGGGTCTTACTTTGTGTTTTTATTTTTGTCTTGGAGGAAAATATGAACTCTTTCTGCATTTGGCTGGTGCAGTAACATCCAGATATGAGTATTCAGGAGATGTTGGGGCAAAAGCAAACACACCCTGCCCCTCCCTCTGCTGGCCCACCCACCTCTTCTGCTCCATTGGTTTTAATACTCCCTCCAGACTGGAAAGGCAAACATGTTAGACCAGGAATCCTTTGCTTCAGCTGCCTGACATATGGTACCACATAATCTCTGTTTCATTTTGACAGTGCCAAAACCCAACAGCCTCGTACAGCAGCCTTGAAATGTAATAGGATGAGCACACAGTGCCACAACAAAGCTGCTGTGTTGGGTGTGTAAATCTGTCCATCAGTTAACAAATTCCTCGTAATACTTGTTTTCAAGAAGTTGTTGTTCTGATCATCAATTGTTTTGTTGGATGGGGTTTGTGTGATTTGGTTTTTCTGCTTCTTCTAGAGACAGACCCTTGTTTTTGGCTGTCATGATGCTGTACATGCAGGATTTCTATTTCTAGCCTCCCCACTGCTGTTTTGCTGACCTCTTTCTCACTCCGTAGGGAAGCACAAGTCAACACAAAGATTACAGTAAATTTGTTCTATGGTAAACTTACATCAAGAGAAGAAGCAGGAAGGCACTTCCACAAACCAGTGATGATTGCATTTCACTACAGTGTGGCTCATATATCACTGGAAATGACAAAGTGGTTTGAAGTGCATAAGAACATCAAAGGACCCTTGTTTATTCAAGGTCACAGACAGATGGAATCTGGTGTATGGCAAGCCTGTATGAAGGTTATGGTCTTTGGAAATGGGAATGGATGAAACCAAAATTGGAACAAGATGTAGCCATAAAGGCAGTACATGGCATGATAAAAGACTATTAGCTCAGAACATTTCAAAGAAACTGGTTTTATCCCAGTTACGAAGGGTGATATTGGGAAATGTTTGGTTGATTTTTTCTTCCTCAGAGATAACTAATTTCACTTTTGGTGACTAGAAAGCTTTTCTCTTTTGGTCTGGAGGTCATTTATCTTATTTTGCAGCCTTTAAAGAAAGAGTTGCCTTTAAGATCCTGCAACTTTAATACTGCCATTCCCCTTCTAAGTTGGCACTCTTGTTATGTAGATAAGATTTTTTGGAAATCCCTATTTCTGAAAATCTCACTCTTGAACATTTTCTCAACATTGTCATTATAAAGAGAATGAAGTAATGCCTCAGATGTTTTAATTGAAAAATATATATTCAGTTTAGCTTTTTATCACCACAGAAGTACTCCAGTGGCCTTTTTTTAATATCCCTTTTCTCCTCCTAAAATCAAGAATTAAAAATAAAAGTTAGTTTGATTTGTTTTGTGGAACATGCAGATATAAACTCCATTTTCCACCTCACCCTTTATTTCCAAAAGAAAAACACAGCCAGATTTTCAGAATAATTTTACTTGTCTCTTTGTGGTTGAGCAACTTAATGGTTTGGCTTAGATTTACTACAGCACAAGTGTCAATAATTAGGAAGATTTGCTTTCCCAACATTTACAGTCTCCTGCTATGGGGAAAGCTTTGTTGCAGTCAGTTAATTGTTCATCATAACTCATGCTTTTCTCCTCTTTTTTCCCTCC